TCACTGCGTCCTCGGGGCTTCTGATGGTGGCATGTCAATCTCTTCATCACGCTAAAACAAAGGAACTGAATAAAATAAAAATAAATAAATAAAAAATATTAATGATTGATTTGGACAGAATGTTATTTCTTTTCATTAAAAACCAAGATTTAAAAAAAAATGTAATTTTTAATTTTGTAATAGACTGTTTATTTTATTAGATGTTTTTATTTTTTATTCTATTTTGTTTATATGGCGTATATAAACATTATTTTAATTTATATTATTTTATATTCATATTTGTTTTAATTTCATTTTCACATTTATTTTTATTTCATAGATTGTTCTTTTAAACAACAACAACAACAACAACAACAATAATAATAATAATAATAATAAGAAGAAGAAGAAGAAAATAATTATGCATAAAAAGATAATGCACATTAACAGTATTTTTAAATATTATTCGAGATTCGAGAGTTTATTTAATTTCACTAATTTCATCAGGATACTGAATTATTCAACTGTAGTCTATTTATTTTCTTTTAATAAAAGTAATAAATAATAAGCTAAATAAAAACACAAACACGGCTGAAGAAAGAGAAAAAATGGCAACTCTGAAATAAAAAAAAAAAATACACTGCACACACATCTATATTAAACGCAACATTTTTATTTATTTTGTTTCATTTTTATTTATTTCGTATCCTATTTTTGTTTAGATGTATTATTTACAGTGACCACACAGATCTATATCACTTCTCCCTGAAACGAGCTGATGATGGGAAAGCTGTGACCTTCCTGTAATAAACCTGTAAATCTGTAACATGTTTATAGGAGTGCTGATGTGTCCTGTAAACGCACACGACTTCCCACCGCACTCCGTCCCGCACTCCGTCCCGCACACCTGCACTAAACACATCAAAGGTGACGAGGCTCCTCAATATCCCTGACATCACTGCCACGCGTGTCTCCCTTCCTTTACTTCCTTTCCCAGGAGAAAGAGTCTGCACATCATCGTGTATAAAGTTAAAAGAGTTGCGCCTCTTCCCTTACAACACGGATACTGAAAGCACAAGTCCTGCTGGATTGTGGAAAGAAACACTTTAGTAATGAGAGGATTTAGCTAATTGGAAGAAACTCTTTATTAATAGCAGACTTTAGAAATGAAACAAAGAATTTCTATCTGATAGTCTGTTTTCGCCAGTCACACATTTCCACAAGTAGCCTACACACAAGCACTTCCGCTTATTTTAGGAATTTTTTTTACCTTTTTAAGCTTTAATATTTTTGTTATAACCACAAGGGGGCAGATTTAGACAATTCCTATACTCAATGGTAATTTCAATTTTAGACAAATTAGGAATTTTGGGAATTTAGGAATTAGACAAAATATGGAAATGTATCAAATATTAAACCAAAAAAATCAATAATAAATCAATCGGGTTCATATTTTCAGCATTTTCTTTATTTCATTCATTCGTCAGTTGGAAACTAGGCCTTAATTGCAGATATTTTTGTTGGAATTTCCAGTAATATCATCAACATTATTTATTAGAAAGGAGCAAAATTATTTTTATATTCAAAGATTTTCTAAAATGTCTAGAAATCAAAGTAATACTCATATTTGTTCTATCATAATCCTATAATGAGAAGATTAGATAAATATTTAAGATATTTTCACATGATAATGTTTTTTTTTTAATAATAAAATAATGAAATAATATGTTAATGTGAAGTATAGCAGGTAAACATTCATGTACTGGTGGATTAAAGAAAAAAATAATCAATTTTCTACCATTTGCGCTACAAGTAGCCTTCATTTTTATTTCATGCAGGCTGTTCAAGTTGGACTTATTTCAATAGTGTCGAGGAGCAAAGCAAAAAAAAGAAAGAAAGAAAGAAGAAGAAGAAGACATTTACAGTTGCGCACAACTAAGCTTATGATGAAATTTTTAAAATGGTGCAGTGTAGTGCAGGGTTGTTTACTCCTGGAAGTTCTCAGGTCTGACTACATTTAAGCTCCATCAAAAACAGTCAACTGTTTATGAGTAAGAAAGTTTATTGATTTCGCAGCAGAGAACTGGAGAAAAATGATGAAGAATGGATTTACAGTTAAAAAGGTACAAGTCTCGTCATAATGTGAGAAGAAAGTCATGAACCTAGAAGCTGAGTCACAAGCATCAAAAGGCACTCTACAACTACAGGATGTTAGAAAACAGTTTTAACTACATCTCCAAGAGAGATAGCATCATCATCATCATCATCATCATCATCAAGGTATACATCAAGACATAAAACTGACACAGATTGTCACTGAAATAATAAGGAACATTTATTTTTGAAGAGAATTGAGAATTAGGTGGACCATTTGTTTCTCATTTCCTCCCCCAAAAAGTAACTAAACAAACAAACAAACAAACAAACAAACAAACAACCTCTAATTCTTTAAGCTTACTCTGATGGTAGCACTTCCTATAAGTCACCAGCAGGAGGACCCACTAGCATCTCATCATCCCAGTGTGGCTCTTCTGTCCCACACAGAGTCCTGGCCCTGGTCCTCAGTGTTCTCCTGCTCTGCATGGTGAGGATCTCGGCTGTGAAGTATTGCACGGCTAAAGACCGAACACAACACACACGGGCTAAATGTTGGTGTAAGTGCTACAGTAGTACCATACGTATTCTGTTTATACAGTGTAGTGTAATCACACACGTATCACACTGGAGTGTCCAGAGTGAAAGAGACGAGAGCGAGAACTGAACATTATGTTGGGAATAAAACACTTGGTGACACGGTGTTATAGGAAAATTATCAATGACAGGGTGGTGTGATGTGGCCCAGAATGAAGGCGAGTTACTGTTACCACTTCGAAGTTTGATTGTTTTACTGTAACGCCATCTTCGTTCCTCTTATTCCAGATCCATAACATTTTTTCATTTATTAAAGAATGACACATTGTACCTTTTATCCATTTAAAGTTAGTTCCTGTTGTCCATCCCCTTTCTGTACTGCTTTTTCTACACAGGGTTGCAAGGAGCCTGTCCCAGGGGACTCTGGGCACAATCACACACACTACAGACAATTTGGAAATGCCAATTAGCCTACAGCACATGGGGAGGAAACCAGAGTACCCTGAGGAAACCCCCAAACCACATACAAACTCCACACACACACAGGGCAGAGCCGGGAATCAAACCCCAACCCCAGAGGTGTAAAGCAAATGTGCTAACCCACTAAGCCACTATGCCTCCTAGTTCCTGTTATCTCGCACTTTAAAGCAGCTATAAACAGCCGTTATCTGACCAGTGTGGTTTTTTAATCTCTTTCTAGAAGTTCATAGGACAACAAAAGCAGCTTTTGTTACCAGTAACCCGCAAAGCACAAACTCCTCTGTCCTGAAGGCTTTCCCGTAGTGGAAATCTTACAGACTACAAAGCGCTGACACTGGAAACTCCTTTCATAAACATTAATTAAACATCTCCTGAAAAGAAACTTCCTCGCATCAATAATTACACATTTTTTTCTTTGTCAGATAACAACACATGAGCTGTTACCATAGAAACAATAACATAGAACGAGTGCATTGATTGTCATTGACCTGTGATTTGCAGCTGCACTACTGTCAGAGATGCTGTTACAGAAAATTAATCAACACTTTCTGACCAATCGGAATCGAGAATTCAACTCTACTGTGGTATGAATAGTCTTATAATCTTGGCTAAGCAAAATGAAATGACAGTATGAAGATGAGTAAAGACTGCAGACTTTTACATATGCGTCTAGACAAAGTGATGAGAACCTGTAACAATACCTAGAAAGCTCATTTTATAGCTGTGGATAAACATCACTGAGGTCGATCTGCATCGACGGCCAGAGCAGTAAGTCAGTGAAATGTGCTGTCAGATACTGGAAGAGTCCACCTACACAGAGTCTCGTTCTCACGCTGTTGGACAGACAGAAAAGATAAAGAAAGACAAAGATTTGAACATTAGTGTCAGGTGGGGTAATAAAGCAGTCTATGGGGCCTCTGCTGAGGGCTTTACGCTAAAGGGGGTATACACACACACACACATGCACACGTGCACACACATACACACTCTCTGTTTCGTGTATGCATAAAGCGGCTGGAAAAATTGCAGTTTAGTATAATCTAGAGTTTCCACAGAAAGAGGGTGTTTTGGACACAAAAAAAAAAAACTCATCAGCTGTGCAATCAAAATGCTTTTGAATGTGTAGGAGGTGAAACCACAGATGTACAAACAAAAGACCTAGATGACTGGTTGAGTCCATGGTTTCACCCTTTAAGTCTTTTAAAAAAAATCATTTTCAACAATAAATTTAACAACAAATGCATTTAAGCTTTCCAAAAAATGTGGGAACCCATCTCAAGCAGCAATCTCTCTCTCTCTCTTTTTTTTTTTTTTGAAACAAGGTTACATTGCAGACTGGCTGCAGTTTGGCTGCAACTAGCTATGTTAGCTAGTCCGTTTATTTTGTAAGTTCACTTCAGCACGTAAGGAGTTGTAACATGATTAACTCAAATGATAAGAGTTGTCTTTTTTTTGCCAATGGAGTGTTGGAATCAGTGCACTTGTTTGGCTGAAAAAGAGCTTTATCGCACAATGTCTCCTCTGTTAACTTTAACTTATTGACCCCTACCGCCTTGCATTACTCAGAGACTCATTGGCTAATCCAGCTATCTTGCTAATTTGCCCATTTTCTCTGCAAACATTGTCTAGCTGTGCTAGCTCGCTGCCTTTAACAAGTTAGTAAAGGCTAATGAGTCAGTTTGGTTAGTCAAGGCTGATGACTCAGTCTTATTGGAAAAGAGTCATCTCTGTTGTTGTTGTTGCTGCTGCTGCTGCTGCTGCTCCCATTAGGGGTTGCCACAGCAGATCACTGGTCCACATATTTGATTTAGCACAAGTTTTCACACCAGATGACCTTCCTCAATTTTATCTGGGCTTGTGGCCGGCACCGAGAGCACATTGTTGCATGCAACCCCGGTGGCTGGGGTTGGTTCCCTGGCTGGGAATCAAACCCAGGCCACAGCGCTGAGAGCACTGTGGCCTAACCACTAGATCTTCAGGGACCCTGGAAAAGAGTCATCTCTAACCAGAGAAAATGTATTTACAAATGTAAATTACATGGTCACAATATATTATGGACTAAAATAGTATGGGTTTAAGGTGATTTTGCCCCACTGGCGAGATGGCTATTCAGCAAAGCTCTGGAAAAGCACTTCTGTCAATGTTATGTTTGGCATACATACATTAGTTTAGCAGCTTCATCAGTGAACAGTTAATAACTCCAACAAAACAGACTTCATGTGAAAATTTCCTGGTTGCACAACTGCACAATTTGTCCATGTAGTACACAGTTACAGAAGGGATTTATTTATAATTGCACTATTCACTGCCACCCAGATGAGGATGGGTTCCCTTCTGAGTCTGGTTCCTCTCAAGGTTTCTTCCTCAGATCATCTCAGGGAGTTGTTCCTCACCACCGTCGCATCTGGTGTACTCATTAGGGACACATTTATAAATTTAAATATTTATATCCTGGATTTACGTTTCTGTAAAGCTGCATTGTTAAAAGTGCCATACAAATAAAATGGAATTGAATTGAGCTTAGCATTGTTCGAAGAATAAATACTTTCTTACTTTTTTCCCCTCTGCAAAATTTTCCCCGTAAAACTTCACTTGCTAATTTGCTAACTTGCCAGTTTTGTTTGCAAACATGTTTGTTGGTTAGATTAGGCTATTTATTGACAATATTCATTTATGGTGACTCAGTCATACTGGGGGAAGCAAGTGTTTTAGCCAGGCTGAACTTATGTGTGTAATTTACAAGGTTACAGTATATTTAGGATTCTTAGCTTCCTCTGTAGTTGTAGAAAAACACATCAGTCATCCAAGAGCTCTCCTTACTCTAAATCAACTTTCTATGTAAATATTAGCATGCTTGCTTGTATTGCGTAGCACTGCGCAAAGAATCATTTGCTATGTTAACTAGTTTAGCTAGTCTGTTTTCTCTGCAAACATTAGCTAACATTATCTCACATTGTTTGAAGAACTATTAGCTGAGCTAGCTAGCTTTCAAACCGTTCAGTTTTTCTTTGAGAACATTAGCTAGCTTTGCTAAAAGAAGTCTCTTTTTTGCAGCCCAACAAAATTTACAAATGGAAATTACAATGTCACAACATATTATACAACTGTGAGTGATTTTTCAGCACACATGAGCTTTGGAAAAGCAAATGTTTGGGAGGAAGGAAAGAAGCATTACTTTAAGTCAGTCTTTTGCATCAGAACATCCAAAGGAGTTTTTAAAGTAAATTTTAAGTCTCCACCATAGCCCACAAAGGCTGATTCATGTACCATTTCCTCTCATTACAAGTCAAAAGCCAAATATCAGTACTAAATGTTCAGTTTAGGTTTGATGTTTCTCACAGCAGTGGCTAAAATGTTCTGAGCAAAACAGAGAGAGAAAGAGACAGAGAGACAGAGAGAAAGTGTCTCACGGTGTGATAAAGCAGGAATGATTTTCTTCAGAACTGTGTTTTCTTCCTATAAGCAAGCGTATTCTCGTTTTTTATTGGACGTTCAAACCCTCTTGAACTGAGCTCCCATTTCCACAGAAGGTCAATGTAGGCATATATACAGAAGACCACAAACCACAGAGCTGTGTGTATGTGTGTGTGTGTGTGTGTGTGAATTTTTATAAAAGGGGGGAAACAAGTCAACACACTAATTTCTTGGAACTTTACTCATTTGGTTCAAAGGACAACGACGGGCGCTTTATGATTTTCACAGTATGATTTTCAGATATTTAATATTCACACACACACACACACACACACACACACACACACACACACACACACGCACACACACAAATACGTTTGTCGTACTGTCCTTGTAAGGACTATTGACATAATTATTAATGAAGCTAATTAATACTATGTTTAACCTAAATCTAACCCCAACTTCAACCTCAGTAACCATTTGGCTCTTAAATTTTTTTTAATAAAAGCTGCAGTTTTTGTAAAAATGGAAAAGAAAAGGAAATAAAAAAAAAAAAAGCAATTCTCCTAGTTGGGACCTGCCAAATGTCTCCACAAATTCAAAACTGTCAAGTATTTATGGGGTCATTTGGTCCCCAACAAGACATAAAAACATAACCAACCCCACCCACCCCGCTTCTAAACACACACAAATACGCACACACACACACACAAGCAAGCATTGATATCAGCACACATATCTTCTATGTGCTATAAAGATGCAATAACAACACGCAACAGTCAGTAAATATGCTTGAATGTATTGCAATGCTATAACCAGAAATGAATGGACAACTACGAAATGATGAGTCAAAGTGAACAGCCTGGGATGAGTGTTTGATATTTAGATCTGACTGTCACACAGTGAAATGGGGAACCATCAGAGCAAATGCCAGAAACCCGAATTCACTTTTGGCCTTCATAAACAGAATATTGTTGCATTTAGGAGAAAGGTTGGGATAGACGTTGAGAAGTGACGCTCCTGTAATGCCACGCTGTGAGTTCTAGGGGGCGCTGTGGAACTGAAATGCAGGGCATTCTGGTGCGCTGTGTGTGAAATAAGGACATTTGTTTTCCCTCAGTCCAGTCAACAAGTCAGGTTTAAATATGATTAAATTCATAAATCAGGAAGGAGGTCCTCATTGCTCTTCTGTTCTTAAATGAGCATGAGACCCTCATCCTTAGTTCTGGGTGCCATTCACAGGCAGACATAAATACTCAGTGATGATTAGAGTGAATGAGACACTTAGTCTGATATGATCTCACTACTCTGTTATCATATTTGTGTCATCATAACTGAAACAGAGTGCGATAGTATTGAGTATGTGTATGAAGCTGATCTAGGAACAGCTCACTCAGCCTCACATGCTCTGTCTAAGTTTTCATAATTAGAATTAGAAATTATAATCAGAATAGAACTATTCTTAGATCAGACTAGATCAAACACCAGGCTGCTCATGTGTGACCACATCCGGCCTTATAATTATTATAGTCTGGAAACAGCTCATCCAACTCCATGCCCTGTCCAAGTTATTATACGTATTATAATAATAGATGCTGATCCAGGAACAGCTCACCCAAGTGCAAACTCAACCACCCGGATGAGTCCAAGTGCTTATAAATATCAGAATATAACGTATATATCAGAATATATCCTCAATCTAATTAAGCTTCAGAGTGTTGTTCTGGGAACAATTAATCCAACTCTGTACCAACTGATCCATCTCATTCAAATGCACACTCTCACGCTAAATAAAAATGGATCCTAGATCAGATTAGCCTTCAGAGTGTTGACTTTTGATCTAGAAACAGCTTACCCAACCACATGTCCTGTCTAAATGTTTGTAGGTATACGAATAAAATTGGATCAGATCTAGATGATCTAGGAACAGCTCACTGAAGTGCCATCAGTGTCCTTGCATTCCTTAGATACAGGAAACCTCAGAAAGTCTCGGTGTGCACAGTTCCTCTTTGTTCAGTGTCCCTCTTCTCCTTTATGGCCGCATGGGTGGCACTGAAACAACTCTCAAACCACAAGCAGGATTTCAAATGTTGGGTGTAGTTCTGATCGGCAGCGCAGGAGGGAACAGCAACGTCAGGACATGGTCAGGAGGGTTTTGCAATCAGGGAGTAGGGAAGGACTCTAAAGACACTTCCATGTGATCGTGGATTTCTCTCTCTCTCACACACGCACACACAAATTGTTTAAATGTGAGCTCTCGCTCTCCCTTCAATCATATGATGAGGTTATTATTGACATTTTCAGCAAAGAAGGCAGAAATACACATAATAGTTTTACCTTACAGTCACCTTGTAAGGTAGATGGTGTGTGTGTGTGTGTGTGTGTGTGTGTGTATGTATGTGTGTGTATGTGTGTGTGTATGTGTGTGTAGGCCGGATGTCTGAGATTGTTGTCCTGAAATGGGCTTTTGTCTGTTCTGACAGACACATCAGTCCACCCAGAAAATAGTGCACATATTTTCTCTCTAATTAGTGGTTTCCACTGAGTGTCATACACACACACACACCCACACACACACACAGACAGTCATTCATTGCTTACCTATTGTGGTCTGAATGTGTTCTCACACACACACACACACACACACACACACATATACAAGATAAGGACCTCGCTGTTAGGTCTTTATTTTCTTCCTCTGTGATTTTTTTCTGTTTGAGATCTCTAACATCAATGGAGATGGATTTGAAATAAGTTGCACTTATAAGACCAGTTACTTTTTAATGTAGAGAGCAAGCAATGTAAGTCTAATAGGCCTACTACCTTTTAAAATAAATTCTGAAAAAGATTTCAATCAACGTAATGCAGTATACTAATCTCAGACTGAATAGCCCTTATAATAAAATGACATTCATTTCACCACTGGTCAACACGAGACTGCCCCCAGTGCCCCAATGGTTGAAAATGATGCCGTGAAAGTGCCCACTAGGGTGCACCCACTGTAGCTAATATGTCATAAAGTGCCATCTAGGGTGTCCTTATATTAGTGGCCAAAATGTGATAAAGTAAGTGCTCTCTTGAATGCCCCTACGTGTGAGAAAACATCATGAATTGCCTTCTAGGATGCCCCATGTGTGAGAAAACATCAGGAAGTGCCCTCTAGGTGCTCCTGCGTGTGAGAAAACATCAGGAAGTGCCCTTTAGGATGCCTCTAAGTGTGAGAAAACATGATTAAATGCCCTCTAGGTGCTCTTACGTGTGAGAAAAATTGTTTAAATGCCCTATAGGTGCTCGTATGTGTGAGAAAATGTGCCCTCATCGGTGCCTGTATAGTAGAAAACCCACCTTAAGATGGGTTCACACTGCGTGTAGGTGGTGGCCTTTTTCATTTTTTCACCCCGCCTCGTGTGTCTGCCCGATGTTGTCCGTATTTCACGTGATCATGTGAAAATGGAGGTGCATTTGAACGTGTTAAGCCGTGAAATTGCACACGTGAGAAAGAATGATTCATGTGAGAAAATCGCATTTGGAAAACGAAAAATGTGAACTGACTTGTGAAAATAAAAGC